GGAGTCTGTAAGTTTCTCTGAATGTGACATGACTTGTTCCAGTGTTTGTGCTGGGAAACAGAGATCCTGGGAGTTATTTACGATTTCATTGACATCTTGCTGGCTGAATGTCGCTCGGCGTCTAAATGGTAAATGGACAGTACTTGTATAGCACCTTTCTATCTGATCAAAATACTCAAAGCGCTTTACACTACAATCTGTGTCCTCATTTACCCATTCATACAGCACTCTACTAGATGTCTACAATGCTAATTGAACAAATCATTCTAAAGAGACTCATCAGAGCTTTATTACATTTATACACCGATGGGACACACATCGGAGGCAATGAGGGGTTCAGTGTCTTGCCCAGGGACACTTCGGCATGTGACTGCTGGTGGAGTCGAACCCCCAACTCTTGCATTGAGGACGACTGCTCTACCCACTCAGTCACAACCGCCCTAAAGGCTACATGCTATTTTTTCAGTTGTTTACAACATGCTATTATTACATGACTAACATGTTACAACCACATAAACAAGATACTCTAGAAAGATTGTGTTGATTGGCCAGCAAAGTTTTTGATATGCTGGATATGTTTGTGGAACTATCTTAGGGTAGGGTTTAGAGTTGATTCAGAAGATGGTTCAGCATAAAAGCATTTCTGCCATAAGGAAAAAGTTGAAAAACATAAGTTATTGTGGCATAATGGTATGTGATTTTGAACACAAATGTCCACTGACCATCTGCCTGTTTCTATCTGCTCACCATCAACTTTAGAAGTTTGTCTTTATTTAGAAATAATACATTACTAGCTTCAAGGTACAAAATGTCCACCAAGGTTATGCAAACGTTACCTTCACGTTGTCCGGATGGAGCCCCCCAGGATATTTGTCCATGTATTGACACAGGTCTGTATGCTGGAAAACATTTAAAAAAGAGAAAAACTGGGTTGAAATACAAGTTTAAAGGTACAATGACTTATGATTATTTGTATCATGACAAAACCAGAACAAATACAGGAGAAGGTCAGAGTGGTATCTCCCTGGATGACAGCTGTTGGAGACATGGTCACAGGGAAGTTTTTAAAACATCTCACAAAAAATTGTGGGTGTTGTCAGTTCTCTCCCGTGGGTCACAGAGGCTTATAGTTTTATGGCTTGCAATTTGAATATGTTAAAAATTAAACTGCACATCTTTTTTTTCTTACAATAGTTGCAGATTTGTGTAAAGTGTGTTGAACCTATCTTAATAGTGTGAATGCTTATTAAGCATTCACACCATTCATATATTAAAACGTTCAGCTCTTTCAGGACAATCCAAGACTTTTGGTATTAGTGCAACTTTAGCTTTTTGAAATATTTAGCCTTTTTTTTTTTAGACAGATAAATCACAGTGAGCCTCGAAGACTCATTTACAAGAGAGATCTGTTTAGACAGACAAAAAGTAGTGAAACAGGACACATGTAGGAATTGGAGGCCAAAAAATATTCTATCAAACTCTTTCTTCTTGGCTGAGAATTGGTCACAGGGAAGATTGAGAAAAGACTTGATATTGAAAAAACACCTCGCATATACAAGTACATGGTGACGTAGACATTCCGCAGAGGGGGGAGACGGCAAGCGCAGCGAGCATGTCCAAGGACGCTCTCGAGGGCACTGTAGGAGTTCTGATAAGGATGGAATAATCAACCAGTTCTCTCCGGTGAGATCCGTAAACATTCTCGAGGGATGTTGGGGAATGGCTAAGGACACCGCCTATGGGAATCCAAGAGTACTGGAATGATGAAACAATGTTTATTCAGCTGGTTTCCTCGGGTTGATTAGTTGGAATTCCTTGATGGAAGGGAGGGTGGCAGAGCATCAGGTTACATGTCCTCCAGGCGAATTCAGATAAGATGGCCAGTCAAGGCCAGCCAAGGAGCCAGATTCAGATAAACACACAAATGTTTTTGGGCCAGGCAGAACTTTATTGACTTCTACCTTGAGTCTGTGTTGGTCCACTCGATTACGAAATGTCCAAATTACATGGCCACACCAATGAACTGTGCCTGAGAATAACCCTGAGATCTGATCCATTCTGCCAAAAGCATTTGAGTCTGGGTGCTCGAGGCACGACCCAAGCCATCATAAAGCAAGCAGCATGATCGGGTCCAAATTGTCTGCCGATGACTTCCTTGATTGTTGATAGACCAGGAACCAGCCGAATCCAAAAAGCAGGAACCAGTTATCATAAATCTAATTATAAATGTATCCTTAAAATCCACAAATGGCAGCAGAGATAAGCACATCATCAAGTCTTCCAAGTCGATGAGATATCCAGCTGCGTGCATGCCAACAGGGCAAATCAGCTTGCCTACAGCCTGTCTTCTCTTCAAAGAAATGTTATCAATTGTGTTGAGGGACCAACTGACAAATCCAAGTCCATAATTATGGTTTGGAAGATATGTAGAGAGAGGCTCAGAATCAGTTCACAGACAAGTTAGAGCAGCAAAGCAAAGCAGAGGAGGAGAGGAGTGGAAAAGCGTCCGACCTTGGCAGGAGCAAGTGGTGAAGTGTCTGACACAGGTCCACAGATGTCCTCGGGAAGGGGGGGGGGGGGGGGGGGGTGTTAGCAGAGCCTCTTTTTCACATAACATCCAGGAGAGTTTGAGATAGTTGACTAATTCAAGACCAAGCGTGGGAGCCGGATTCACATAACAACAGTAATTTGGGTCAGGCCGACACCACTTGATTTTTTGTCTGCCTTATAGGTCTACTGGTACATGTTAATGGTGACTCCAAACAGCCAAATTTTGTTGTCAACACTGCTGGGCTGAGCTTGTAGCTTATCCAACGTTGATTCCTTCCTGCCAGCAAGTTTCAAGAGCCTCAAGTGGTCTGTGATTCTCTGAAATCGCGTCCGGCTTACGGCTCAGATCACACAGCATCTGAGTCTGAGTGCTCACCACACAGCTCATTCCTTCACACAAGCCGGGCAGCCTTACAATGGCCAGAACAGCTGCCAATGTTTTCCACATTTGTTGATATCCAGGTAACCACCAACTCCAAAAAACAGAAATCCTGTTATCATAAATCCAATTTTGTACGCGTCTTCTACATCCTCAACCAACAATACTGACAAGCACACAATCTTCCACTGCCCCTAGGAATCCATTGTGTAACCAGCTGCAAAAGTCCCGTCAGGGCAAGAGAGCTCTCCTTTGCCTTGTCTTCTCTTTGAGAAAATTGTATCTATTGCATTGAGACCAGATCCATAATTTACAATTTGGAAGATATGCAAATTTAGGCTCTGATGGGTTTCACAGGACAAAGAGCAAAGCAGGAGGGAAGCAGGAGTGTGAGGAAAAGTGTCCGCCTTCGTTGAGAGCAAGCAACTGTTTTTATTTGGCTTCTTCTAACTTCTTTCTGCTAATTTTAGCTTGTTATGCTCCTTTCAGCTTATTTCTGCAAGTTTCAGCCTTTTCTGCTATTTCAGCTATTATTTTGCTGTTGATGTGCTATTTTAAAATTTTATAGCTAATTCCACATTTTTTGCACTCGATTCAACTTTTTCATCATAATTCAGCAAAAATGTGCTCTCTCCACTTCCTTCTGCTTCCTCAGATTCAGTCAGGCAGCAGCAGCACTGGGCTGGTCTCTTGGCTTTTGGATGGATCCCGCTATCATTCATTCAACCTTTATTTAGACAGGTTAATCCCAATGAACCTCGAGGACTCATTTACAAGAGAGATCTGAACATCAGTGGACAGTCCACGGTCTCCTCATGACGTTCTCACTGAACTCGCTGGAGCTGAACATTTCAGCAACTAAGGAACTCTGCTGTGAGGGTCGAGCCCAAACACCAGAACCTTTGTTTAAACCACTGACCATCCATGGACATCAGGTGAAGCAGGTGGACGGTTTTAAGTACCTTGGCACAGAGACAGACACAAACATGTCTTTCTCACAGCACACTGACTCAATTTATAAGAAGGCCCGACAACGTCTTTACTTGCTGAGGAAACTAAAGACCTTTCATGTCAGCAGGAGCACAATGACCTTGATTTACAAGTCCAACCTGATCGAGTCCATTTTAACTTTTAACATTTCATCCTGGTTCAACCTCATTAATGTAAAACAGAAAGCTAAATTATGCAGAAATTCAAACAATCAAGTGCAATAACTGGCTCACATCAGCCTCCCCTGTCAGACATCTACAGCTGCTTAATGACCAAGAAAGCCACCCTGATCACAGAGGACCCCTTACATCCACTTCGCAACTGCTTCCAGATGCTTCTATCAAACAAGCGTTACCAAGTCCCACTGGCCAGGAATAATATTTATAAGAAATAATTTGTACCATCTGCGTCAATGTTCTTAAACAAAGCTAAATGGACACTTCTTAATGGTGGTAATTAATGGTGATAATGTGAACAACGAAAAGGTTAAATTATGTCATCTGGACCAGTTTCTTTAAGTGAGAAATGTTTCATCTCCCATCCGAAGGACTTCAGTCTATGGCCTGCCAACCAGATCTGTCCCATAGGTAGCCTTTGAAGCCACCCTCCTGTTGGAATCTCAAAAGCAGGCTTTTAACACATGCAAAACACACTCATCCAAAGCCATAAATCATCATATACAACAATCAAATGTAACAATGGGGGTTTTATTATGTTCTATTGTTGGGTCTTGTGTGTGTATGATGTAGAGCGTGTCAAAGGAGAATTTCGGTGTGGTCTCGGAAGAAGGAGGAGATGGGGTCATGGATGAATGACCTAGGGATCCACAATCTCTCCTCAGGACCGTATCCTTCCCAGTCCACCAGGCTTGGTTCCAACGTCTTATATCCGGGATGCATCTGACTGTAAACGTGGGATGATTATTAATGAGTCAGGTGGGAGTGGGGTTGGCAGGAGGGCACAGGGGGCTTTCAGATACCGGCTTTATCTAAGAGACATGAAATGTAGGGTGTATGCACAGAGTTGGGCAGTATTAACCTTACTGCAGTGGAATTTATTATTTTGGTAATGGGGAAAAAGACCAATGAATTGAGGATGGTTCAACACCAGTAGAAAATTCTCAATGAATTGTGTAAAGGTTAAGGTCTCTATATTGTGGGTGATTAAGTAGCAATGAACCCATCAGAGCACCTCCTCTTTTAGTGCACTAATCACACAAGTTATCTCAGCTGCATCAGGGGAGTAATTAGTAGATGCTCGGTAAAAAGCTAGGTGGCACTGTAACACAAATCCCCCACAGTGATCTGGATTGCCACAAAACACTTCAGATGGTCTGATATCTGGTTCACTGGGAAAAGAGGGAGTAGAATTGTTACTAAGGGGAAGAGCAGTAGTGTCTGGCTGAGGAGTCTGGGTGGAAGGAAGAAGAGTGGATAATTTTTGATTTATGACCCACCGAGTTCCTCTAGGTTGGACTGATTGGAATGCTGTTGGGTCAAGATTTGTCCAAGGGTTGATTTTTGGTTATCAATCTATTTAATCTGAGTAGCGAACAACTGTTGGGACTGTTCGCCCTCAGTCATGGTCTGGGTCTTGTCTGGCTGGAGCATTCTATCAGGACATAGAGGTAAGACACAAGATGACCAGACTGAAAGTAAACATAACTCAACTATAGTTTACAGTGCTTTATTTACAGTGAATATATGATGCTATTTACAAAGACAACCTTCACCACTTGCTCTTGCTGAGATCAGACGTTTTCCCCTCCCTCTCCATTTTGCTTTGCTGCTATATCTGTCTGTGAAACTGCTTCTGAGCCTCTCTTGCATATCTTCCGAACCATAATTATGGACTTGTTTTGATCAGTTGGTCCCTCACCACAATTGATAACATTTCTTTGAAGAGAAGACAGGCTTTAGGCGAGTCGATTTGCCCTGTTGGCATGCACGCAGCTGGATATCTTATCGACTTGGAAGATTT